TCTTGGGGCCTCTTCTCTTTAACATCTACATGCTACCACTGGCTCAGATAATGAAAAACAACAAAATAAGTTACCATAGCTATGCGGATGACACACAAATTTACGTAACAATTTCACCAGGAGATTATGCTCCAATTCAAACACTGATTAAGTGCATTGAACAAATCAATGACTGGATGTGTCAGAACTTTCTCCAATTAAACAAAGATAAAACTGAGGTAATGGTTTTTGGAGCCAAGGCAGAACGTATAAAAGTTAGCGCTGAGCTTCAGTCTGCAATGTTCAAAACAACAGATAAAGCCAGAAATCTAGGTGTAGTCATGGACTCTGACCTGAGTTTCAACAGTCACATTAAAACAGTTACTAAATCAGCCTACTATCACCTAAAGAACATATCTAGGATTAAAGGACTAATGTCACAGCAGGATTTGGAAAAACTTGTCCATGCTTTTATCTTCAGTAGACTCGACTACTGCAATGGTGTCTTTACAGGCCTCACTAAAAAATCTATTAGAAAGTTTCAGCTGATTCAGAACGCCGCTGCTCGAGTCCTCACTAACACTAAGAAAGTGGATCACATCACTCCTGTTCTGAAGTCCTTACACTGGCTTCCTGTGTGTCAAAGAATAGATTTCAAAATACTGCTGCTGGTTTATAAAGCTTTGAATGGTTTAGGCCCAAAATACATGTCTGACCTACTGCTAAATTATGAACCATCCAGAACCCTCAGGTCTTCAGGGACTGGTCAGCTTTCTGTCCCCAGAGTCAGAACTAAACATGGTAAAGCAGCATTCAGTTATTATGCTCCAAATATCTGGAACAAACTCCCAGAAACCTGCAGGTCCGCTGCAACTCTTACTACTTTTAAATCCAGGCTGAAGACTTTTCTTTTTGCCGCTGCTTTTAATTGAACTATTCACATCTTAAACTGCACTGTAACTTTTAACTTTTATCCATGTATTTTTTCTTTTAATGTTTATTTTATTATCTTTCCTTTTTAATGACTGATTTTAAATGCCATTTTTAAAATGTCTTCCATTTTTGTAAAGCACTTTGAATTACCTTGTGTTGAAAGGTGCTATATAAATAAACTTGCCTTGCCTTGCCTTGCCTTGCCTAATCCACCCCCAGGAACTCATTTTGGTGTGAACGCGATCTGCTTTAGTTCATCAGAACTAAAAGAGTTCTCATTAACTAAAGTTCTCATGAACTATCGTGGGAAAAGTACTTGGTGTGAACGCGCCTATAGGTGCGCTCAAAGTACGCGCTCAAGTGGCGGCGGCGTAGCTTAGAAAGCGCTATCTTTGATATGCGTGTTGATAACGTACGTGTGAATATGCGCGTGATTAACGTACGTGTGGATAAGCGCGTGAATAACGTACGTCTCGCCTCCGTTAGCATTGTATAGCATTATCCTATATTATATTTTTCGAATGATTCCGCTCCTACAGTAGTTTGGAGAGTGTTACAGGTACACTTTCTCATCGGCACAGTATTGCTCTCTGCTCGGGAACAGCTGATTGCTGCATGGCGATCAGCTGTCCCTCCCTCCCTCAAGGTGTGTGTCTGTGTGTCTCATTCACTGTCCCTCAGGTTGTGGCATGTTTCGATTGCCAGTTTGTGGCTTGTATGTCTTGTGAACGCAACGCTGGCATAATATGATGTGGCCTGCTGACATGGCCTCTAATAAACACACAGGACTAAAATAATACGTGTTTAATTCAGCCCAGATGCGGTGACTGCAGGCCAAATCCATTAATGCGGCATATATTGAAGGTGTTCAAAGTTGCACCGGTATGAGGCGCAGTGAGAACCACGCACCTGTCAGACTGGCGAATGTGCACATTTAAATTTCAGGAGAATAATGAAGATGTGATTGGTTGTTCCACTCTCCGTTTCTCACGAGACCAGCGCGCTGCTGTTTACATTAGTGTGGACTGGACCGACTGAAACTGACGGCAAGGTTAATTATTGTGGAAGGATGGACCCCCATCCTGCAACAAAAAAAGGCAGCGAAATGTGCTAAAATCAATGATTTATTCAGAACCCCCCGTATGGTATCTAATGACGAAGCAGAAAGTAAGTGAGCGAACATTATGAGCCACATTTCTTTCTATATTGTAGCCTGATGTGCACATCGACTGTCAACAAAACAGTTTCTCAGTCCAATGCAAAGTTAGTGGCAGGCCCTGTGTGACTGGAGACTATAAGGCTACACAAAACCCAAACATGTCCTTAATGTTACTCAAGGCAAATATATGTAATATAACCGTTAGACTGCAGCTAACTGTGGGGCTACAAACCCCTCATACTGTGAGTGAATAACTTCATGGTTATGTTGTGTAAAGGGGAGACAATCATTATGGTATTAGGCCATGCAAATACAGGGTCAACTAAGTGATAAAATAAGTGTTGCATCATATATGTTCTTGAATAATGTTATTTCATAAATAGTTGTTAATGTAATGATTACATGTTCTCCGTATTCAGTTCCACTATCAGATGATGCTGATGGTGATGAGCCTGAGGGAGAGATGCAGGCAGAGCTCAGTGGACAGAACTGGCAGGTACAGAGGAAACTGTTTCAATAGGCTATGTCTATGAAAACACTGAACAAAACAAAGGAAATGTAATGACAACAGTATAAGCAAGCTATGTTCATGTTCTCTCAATAAGTTACTAGTTATTGATCACAGTTTAATCCATTTGAGGTCCACCCCCAAATAAAACATGTTCACATGGAAAGGTTCCCAAATACATATGCACACCTTTTTTTTAACAATATCCTATGTCCATATGTGTCTATTTAAGTAGTAGATTCAAACTGTAGGGCTATCACTAAGGGCAGCAACGTTGTAAATATTGACGATACATCCAGCAAAACGCCCCCAAACAAAACTGGTAGTGGCCTGGCTGGGTGTATAATTCCCGGCCTGACCTATGGTCCCAGTCCGGCCCTGCTGACACATCACACACCCGTACACTACACACATCACTGATTAACTGATATCACAATTGAGTTACTCTCTTAAAATAAATATACTGTAATTGGAAAATAATCATGTGTGGTGTCCTTGTTTTGTCCGTCCTTGAGCCAGGGCTCCCTATTGTTGTATGTAGGTTATTCTTGGTTTTAGAATGAATTCAGTAATGGTGTGTGTGTAACACAAACATAATAAATCATTGGATAGTGTTTCTATATAATAGAAATGAAGTAATGTATTAAGACTCAGTGCGAGTTATTACTTTCTTCCTTTACTTGGCATTCTTCAAAAATACACAGACATTGCAGCACATCGTTTCACGTCTTTGTACTTTCTCAGCATTAAAGTGCAATGTGTTGGCAAACCTTTGTTTCCTCCTGACAGCTCACTTAAAGGTATACAGTTGAACTGGATAATTTAACATGTATGCCACCTGCTGGAAAGAAGACGTATCGCTCTGTTGGCGTCGTTTGGACAACAAAAACAGAGTTAAACTCTCATTTCATAAACAATCTTTGAGTACAGACCCCGTCCTGCAGAGAGCACACAATCCAACAGCACGTTTTTGGTCTAGCATCACTTTACAAAACGTTTGCATTAAGACACTTATGGGGCATTTCCACCATGGCGCGGAGCGCGGTTTAAGCGTGCCGTGTCGTGCCGTGCCCGTTTTTGGTTGCGCTTCCACTAGGCCTAGTACCGGCCCGGGGCCACTTTTTCACCTTTTTTCTGGGCCGACAAAATTGTGGTTCTATCGAGGCCACACTAGCGCAATATGGTCTAGCTGCCGGCCGCGGAGAGTACATGACACTACACGACACGCCCCCTACACGACACGCCCACCTGACACGACACTACGGTGGCTGAGAGACATTAGTGATCTCCAGTGTGCTGGGCAGTGTGGCGGCGGAGGGAGCCGAGGGCACCACCGGAGGAGAGGCGAGCGATGACAGCAGCATCACCGTGGTGCAGCTCCCCGCACAGACTGAGGGGACTTGTTACACGGAGCCCATCACCGGGGAAGCCTGCGGCGGGAGAAGGCGGTCTGCTCGGCCTGCCCTTGGCTCTGGGGTCCCTCCTTAAAAAAAGTCTCATCATACTTAATCCTTGACAGTAGCACATGGTATATATTGTATGACTTTGTCATTTTTTTAATGTTGATATGTATTCGCTCATAGTCTACTGTGCCTTTCACGCAGACAATACAAGTGAATTTTGAAATGACAAATAGGTTTATGTTTCAAGTTTATTTGCATTAAAAACGTGTTTTTAAACCCTTCTGTTCAAATTTGATATTTTGTTTCTTAAAAGACTAAATCTTTAAAAACATGCTGTTTGCCATTTTTAAAGTTTGATGGAAGAAATTAAAATATAGGTCACTGACGTGGAGCTTTAGGCCTGCAATGCTTTCAAAAAAAATGTTGGTGTTGTTTCAGTTTTGAGTGAATATGGATGTTAAATTCACAAATGAGTATGAATAATCTTGAACAAGAACCTTTGAGTCCTTCAAAGGTTTTGTAATAGACCCCTAGTACTTTTAATTTATAAAGTAATAATAATACATGTGAATGATTGAGCTCATTAGTGGCCTTACTGGCCCTCCTAATTTGGTCCTTAATGACCCCATGATGTGATTATGTATATCTTAAAACCTTTAACAACTATATTTAGATGTTCACAAATATCTACATTTATGTATAAATACATGTGTAGCAGTTAGACAAACATAATTAATAGATTATCTCATTAATACCTATTTTATATATTAAAAAAAGTTTACTAAACCACCGTTTGTTGACAAAATGATTTGGGTTGAAAGTTATACTGTTGTGTCTCAAACGGATAGACTAGGTTATTAATTTATTTGCCTAATAGTTGCTTAAAATGCTACAATAACATTTGCAATTCGTTTTTAATCTGCCATGTACGGTAATGTCTCTCAGCCACCGTAGTGTCGTGTCAGGTGGGCGTGTCGTGTAGGGGGCGTGTCGTGTAGTGTCGTGTACTTGCCGCGGCCGCAGCTGGACCCTTCTCCATATATTGGGACGCTTGCAGCATTTTTGAAAACAGAGAAGCTAAAAGAAGAAATGGCATAGAAAAGCACACCGTGGTCGATTGACGAGGTTACGACGTTCCTCCAGCTGATAGCAGATGACAAAATCCAGCGGGAGCTCGACGGCACAACTCGCAACCTCAAAGTTGTTCAGGAGGTCTCTGCACTGTTGTCCGGACGCGGATACGCAAGGACTTTCCAGCAGTGTAGGGACAAACTGAAAAAGCTTAAGAGTGAGTATAGAGCCGTCAAGGACCACAACGGCCGGAGTGGTTCAGATAGGAGAAGCTGGAAGTGGTTCGACCTGATGGACGCTATTTATGGCCATAGACCGGCCAACGTTGGGAGAGAGGGAGGCCTGGACTCTGCAACCGCGTTGCTGGAGTCCCTGCATGGTAAGTCTTTGCTAACGCTCTGTTATTTGCTTGAAAGCGTTGTGTCCCTATCTATTATAAAGCTCACTTCTAACAAACAAGTCTATTTTATGGATCCCCGAAGAGCTACATAGCTAGCTAAGGCAGATAGCATTAGCTAGAGCTATTGTTTGCTACCACCACATGTGCCATTGTTTACGTTCAGTTTTTCTTTTCTACAGTTGTTGTTGTTGCTATTTAGTATTGTGCTGCAGTAGTTTGTGGAATTAACAAGTCATGTTGCTGTTCTAGATGATGCCATAGATGAAACTAGTGAGGAGGAATAGTCCCGAACAACGGGTGATCCGTCCTCGTCATCGAATCCAGAAGGGACCCCAACTCGACCACAGACACCAGCCGAACAACCGACACCAACTCAACCACCAACGCCGAGTGCCATCACGACACCGCAGCGTGTGGTTCTAGGTAAGAAATAGGCATGGCAAAACGACTGCAATTGTGACTTTTTTTCATCCATCGTCAGTAAGTAAAATAAGCTATACCACTGTGTGGAAGTGCTCTGTTACAAGTAAGTAACTAGCTAGTAAGCAGCTAGTACAATTGTGTGTGACATCCTATTATATACATATATTTATATTCATTATCAACAGGCTGGACATAATGTAATTCACTTTCACAATCATTGTAAACATCTAGGGCATAACTGTCTTTAGTTCATCCTTACTGTAGTTCTGCTTATACATTTTATTCTTATATCCTTGTGTGACCTGTACCTGTCCTGTGTTTTTCATTCTTATTGCTATAATTATCTTATCATCATACAGGCAAGAGGAAACGAGGAGGAGACGAGCACCTAGCACAGGAGGAACGGCACCATGAACGGAACCTGGCCCAGGTGGATCGGCACTGGCAGCTGACCATGGAGGCTACTGCCCGGGCAAGGCAGGAGGAAATGGCCTTGAGAAGGGAGGAGAACGCTCAAACTCTGGCATTTAACTTAGCCTTCCTGCGCACTCTTGGCCAGGTTGTGGACAGCCTACGTGGCCCGTCTCTTCAGGAAGACGAACCACCTCTGTAATTGCCACATTAGTACAGTACTTTCTTGTTTATGTCTTATCTTTCTTTTTTGTTTTTATAATGCCATGCCTTTTTATGCTGCAGCAACACATATTTGTTTTTTGTTTGTTTGTACAATGCCATGGCTTTTTTATGCTGCAACTAAAACACTTCCCAAATTGGGATTCAATAAAGTACTTCTCATCTTATCTCTTGTTGATAAATGCATCATCTGATTTCCTGCCATAATCTGATTAACAAACTGATTTTCGTGAGCATGTAAACAAAGTCACTGGGTTGCCACTCGCACACAAACACACAGTTTTGGAATCCAATCATAAACTGAAATGAAATGTACACGTTTCATTAAAGGGCTTTAAATCAGCAGAACAAAAACACTGAGAATTGTGTCGTAGTCCAACGTTTAAAACAAATTGAGATTCACATAATTTGAGGCAGAAGTTATAGGCCTATATTTGTTCTAAATAATAATAAAAATAGGCTACTAATAACATTTATGTGGATCTAACATTGTACATGAATTTATAAAGCAATAAGAAACACCAGTTAGGAAAAAGCCCATAAGATAAAAAGTGAATTTTAAGAAGAGATTTAAAGCAAGAAATAGTTTGCTAGCTTGAGGTCCTCCTCTAAAACATTGTTTGGTAACTGACACACCATTACTTAAAGTCAAAGACTACCTTTTATAAATAAACTGGAAGGGGGTATTTCGAAAAAAAACAGAAAGAGGAGGATAAGAGATCATTTGTATTTATGTTTAATTTATTAGAGATTTTCTTTTCAGGATCTGATATTTGCTCAAATGTTCTTATTATGGGGCAGTACTTACTGGTACTTGAAATTCAAATATTTACTAAATAGTCAATTCTGATAACATTTTTTGGTTTAAATCATTTGACAAACACATGAAAAAGAAAACTCAAAGAACCGAGAGAGATGAGTTATTGTTATTACAACGTGACTTCACTATTATTTAACAACTCTTTTTATTGGGTTCTTTTATTTGGGGTTAAGTACATTGTCTAACAGAAGTTAAATTCATTTTTCACTTATTCTGACAATGTACTTAACCCCAAATAAAAGAACCCAGTGAAGTCACGTTGTAATAACAATAACTCATCTCTCTCGGTTTTTTGAGTTTTCTTTTTGTGCTTTGCCAAATGCCACTGTGTCAAGTGTCCTAGTTGGGTTGCCGTACGGAGTTGTCCAATATGGCGGACCATCTCGCACATGCGCAATGCAGATCGGGCAGGGATGCAGATCGGGTAGTGACAGTGTGAACAACTTGTTTTACATTCAAATAAATGTGCTCTAAAATAATTTGTTATTTGTCATTAAATGCAATATAATCATAACATTTTTAAATTATAATTGCTATACATTTCAGATACTGACAACTTACATTTTATATTTGAGACGATGTAAAATAATTGGTTTGATTTAGTTAAGAAATGGTTTTGAATTTAGTTTAATTATTTCAGGTTCAACTGGATGTTTTTTTTACATTCAGTCCGTAACAACACACTTTTTTCATTTAGGACAACGTAAAATAATTGGTTTACTTCACTATCAGATAATAGTTTGCCTGGAGTTAAAATATACAGATTGATCTGATGAAATGGACTTTCATTGAGTCAATGTAAAATATTTCGTGTGATCGATTACTCTAATTTTTTTTAGTTGATCCAACGTTTTACTTTTATCAGTGTGTGTCAAATAGATTGTTCCCTTTAGTTAACGTTATTTAAAAGATAATTATATTCCTATTTGATCATGTCCCCTTTATTGTATTACGGACGCAGAGAGCAATGTGAGCGTCCATTCCCATTGGATAACGGAGGATTTTACACCCGGAAGTAAGCATTCTCCTTACTGTCGATTGATTTTACAGTGATATCTGCACTACTCATCAACTCAAAAACACCAGATTATCCTTGTTAATTACACAACATTGATTGATTTAAATTGTGTACAATGCTTTTGTAATTTTCCCCTTCGATTCGGAGAAACTAATATTTGTTCAGAGTTTAGGATGGCCGAAGACACTACACTACCCAGAATCCTGAGCTATTGTTCCGCTTTGCCTCAAGCTCTGTGATTGGTTGACCTCCAACTGCATTCCATATGAAAAAAAACGTTTCGTAAAAGATCAAATCATACTTTATTCAGCAGTGCTTGCTTTACTCTTTGAAAGTCATCACATGAATGCATTGTAATGAATAGTTTGGCTGCATTAAATATTGCACATCTGTCGTAGTTCTTTATTTATCTACAGAGATCGGGCCTCAGAATAGACCGGAAAACTATTCTTTTACCGTTCTGTTTTAATTTCACAATAAAGTTAGTAGTAATAATTTGTTTTGATATTGTTTTTTATTAACTACTAGACCGCTGGGTCATGTTAAGACCATCTTTTCTGTGTTGCTGTGGGTTTTTTATATCGCTTTTGTGTTACAAATATCAAAACAATAACAGAATATATCCATCGTAAACTAAACCAGAAACAGCAGTATATTTTATTTTGTTAACACTGAAACTTGACAGCTTTTTAACCCGCACCTCCTACTGGTTAAAGCATGTTATTACACGTTTATAGTAATTGCAATGCAGGTAGATTGTGTTGCTTTTTAATGACTGTTTTAAAATGCCTTTTTCTTAATGTCTTTCATTTTTGTAAAGCACTTTTGAATGTGTTATATTTGATGAAAACATTTAAATATTAAGAGTACATACTCTTAACCTGTTCCACTCTGAGCCTGTTTTTCAGGTCTCAGGCTCGAAAATGACATTCCCAGAACAAATGACCATATCTTCCCTTCTAAAAGGGTTAAATTAATAATCTTTTCTCAAAGTAATGATAAACCTGTGAGTTGGATGTAGAAGTGTCAGAATCAATATAAATGTTTTTTATTTTAAAGAAAATTCAGATTTTACATAGTAAAAAACTGTAAATTATAGTGTCCGTCCAAAAATTATTTTTTACAGATAGTGAAAACTACCCTTGGATGATGGGTTAGTAGACTAAAAGCTTTAGGAATCCAAAGTACAACATATAATAAGTACCCTGTATCAAGATTGATGCAAAACAAGTGAAATTTGACCTTTTTAGAGAGATTTAGCCAAAAACTGGGCCATCTGGGGTCATTTGGGTGGATTTGACCTATCTCTGGCCCCCCTTGCTCGATCTGGTTGGTTGACATACCCTTGTGACCGTTAGAGCCAATAGAATCGAAGGAGGAGGCTCCCACCCAGACAGGTTGTAAAGAAAAAATGTTGCCGCTTCGCGTGTGGAAAGCGAAACTAAACTGGAGGAATGTCTCCTTCTGGAGTTTGGAAACTAAAACGCAGTTGTATTGCTTATGGATTATCAGAAATAATTTCAAAGAAGGCACAGACACATAGGATGAACCTATGGATTAACTGCAGCATCGTTTTTTTATCGTTTTAATGCCATTGAAGACCACTTTTGACCAAGGTAAGATATATTTACGTGTTTAGCTTCTTAGCTCCACATGTGATGATGTATGCTTTCGTTGATAGCGTCGCGAATGTTTATCACTGAGTGTTGAGGTGGGCACCGTTAGATTCAGTGTCTCCAGGACACCAAAAAATAGTGTTTGGTTGTGCATCTAGGATAAGTAATAAGGGAGTTCTGAGTGAGTTTATGTGTCTTTGTCGTCCCGTTTTTTCGATCGAGGCTAATTCAGAGGCTGAGTGCTAGCATTGTGGGGTTTTTTTGAAAAAAAAAATTAAAAAGATCAGTTAGCTGAGTTTCTTCCCGTTACATGGATATAATACATTCATAGTTTTATTCAATATTAAGATTCCTTAGACGTTGTTTCCTGCAAATGACGCGTTTATCCGCCCGGTACCGGGGGGAAGGCGTGAAACAGGTTAATACAGTGGGAAAGTGGAAGGTCAATGATATAAATAATATAGAATAGAAAATATCAAGAAGATACTGTAAGTGATCTCTACAATAAAACAGTTTAGTGCCTGATAGGAGGATGTGCAAAACAGACAAACTAATAAGGCTTTATTTAAACATTAAAGAATACTTTAGGTTAAGGTCTTCTTTTAAATAAGAAAAAAGCTTTGTGGGTATCTACAGATATTAAGCCTGACAAAGTACTTAACGTCTAATATATTGCATGGTTTGTTTTGGAACTTGACAATCAACTTTCCTGCAATGTTAACTATGTTGAAGCACTTATTTTAACTGATATTATACATATAAATTATACTCATAAGATGTATGTAGATAGTATAAGAAATGTGCAGAATATGTTTAATGGTGGAGGTACACAGATATCGATAGATGTCTTGTAATGCACTGTTGAGGAACCTGTGACCCAAGTTTTTCATTCATTGCATAACTAGTTGAGAACTTTATTTTTTATTTTTTACCCTGATCCATTCATTTAGCAGACATTACATTACATTGCATTTAGCTGACGTTTTTATCCAGAGCGACTTACAAGTTTTTCATTCATTGCATAACTACACCGTAGTTGTGTATATGATATGTCAATAAACCTTAGAAAATCTTGAAATCTTGAAAGGGATGTGCAAAATAGCCATTATATACAGTTTTTAATTAACTATTAGTAGATTATTTATCTAATATATCATATTCCAATCACTTGTATATAGACTCTTATTGCACTATTTTACTTTTTACTATTTTTCTTTTTGTATTTACTTGCACTATTTTTTCTGTGTATCTGTTCTATTTCGTATAAGGCTTCACCCTCTAAGGCTATCGCTATTGGGTAATCCCACTGCACGTGTGCAGCACTGACAGACTTAATCCACGCCCACCTATGACGTGGGCCCCACCGACGGCCTCATTTCCGTATAAATAGGAAGTAGGCCCGACCATCTGCTCCCATTTTTCTTCAGCACTCCGTTGCAGAAGCACTGGCCCTCTGGCCCACAGACAGCGGAGAGAGGACGCTCTCGCTGCTGCGGCCGAGGATGATTAGCTAGTCCAGGAGTCTTACTCCGTGGACCAAGACCTTGATTTATGGGATCCGAGTGGCGGGCAGCAGTCAGGCGACTCCTTCCCCTCCATTCACGGATCACCATGGGGT